GAAGAAAAGAAACGAAGAACAGGAGGCAGCAAAACGGTATAATCTCTTATGATTACTTTCTTATAATTCTTATTCACGTTCACAGCATCCACTTATGAATCGACCGCATCGATTAAACCTCCGATTATTAAAAAATGAATTTTCGCTCTTCTTCTGTGTGTTCTCTTATAATTTTTTTATTTTCAGTTTAAAAACTTGCATTGTGATTTTTATTTTTTTGTTTAAGTCAATTTTATACAATTATTACCTATAACGTTTATCATTTTTAATACTTTAATTTAATACTGTTCATAAGAAATTTCATTAAAAAAGCTTTTTCATATCAATCTTTATCAATTCATCAATTAATATCCGTATTTATCACTTTTTTTTTAAGTACTGTTATTCTATTCTGTAAACTCAAAATGTTCGCAGAGAGCATGATTAACTTTTCACATTCTCACGCTATAAATTTTGTCATTTCATTGTTTGTCCCTACTACTTATACATAGTTAATTACGTTTCCGTTTAATTTACGGTGATGATTATTTCGAGAACATAATAAATTTCTACTCTACTCCGTTCCCCGTCTCTATTGAAGCCACGAGCCCCGCGGAGGTTCCGTGAATCGGCCGCAGCGTTAAGAGTCGGTACGGCGAGTGGATATCAAAGAGAGTATCGTGCAGCCTTCCCGCCGGCATCGGCAGCAGGCGGCTTCTAGCTGCTAATGATCGCGGTGTACCGTAACGTGCTACACGATTCCGACGATAAACTACAACGCACCCGGCAGCACCCGCGGCACCGCAAACCCGTTTTTCGAGCGTGGACTTTTTCACGCTCCTCCTCATCCTCCGTCCGACTCTCCTCTCTTTCTCTCTCTTCTCCTCCTCGTTCGGTCGTAAGTATCTAACAATAAGTACGCGCTACTCGGCGAGCGCCTCGTCGCGATAGACTACCGGCTTTTATGGCGGGCATAGTATGTGCACCTACGTTACCTTATCTCGTTACACGTGTCATTAACGTGGCGGCGCCCGGTCAAGGTATACGAGCTCTTTTTGCGCGAATGTTAACGACGTAGCGATAACTGCAACACGTTAAACGGGAACGCCTCGCGGTCACGCAGTGTGTGTTCCTAATGTTCATATATTATCGCCGAATTACTCCTGGTTTCGGGCCATCGATTAAATCGGTTGAAAACATAAGTTGTATTGCTTGAGTAAAAAGTTCAAAATCTCAAACCTCTCCTTTATCTCCTTATTTATTATTTTTCTCTTGTTTCCATTGCTTTATTTTTTAAAACGGTAAACAGTTCGTAGGCATACAAAAGTCAAGAACTTGCTATGAAATTGAATTAAACATCGAATATGATAAACTGTATATTTGCTTAATGCTAGAGGGTTATTTCCACTCGAGTTTGTGAACTTTTAATTAGTTTAATTATTATGTTGATGCTAACTTCCTGATATCTGTTCATCAGTAAATTTCGAAGAAAATGATAATTATAGTTAACATAAGTTTTATAAACATGTAATAATATCTAACTTATTGTTAATGATAAAATCAATTATAAAGGCCCGTTTACATAAGTCGCAACACGCAAAACGCAAACGCAAACACGGACGCAAGATGACGTTTCCCTCTCTTATTTTTGACGTATCTTTCTTTTTTTTCTCCGCGTTTGCGTTTGCATTTTGCGACTTACGTAGACGGACATTAACATTATTAAAATTTCATATTTCAATTCTCTTACCTACAAAAAATAGTAACAAAATAATAATCATAGGCTAATACATTTTCCTGAAATGAACTTATTTATCGATGATAGTATATAGGTACATTAAAAACTAAATATTTTTTTTAATCAACAATAATTATAAAATAATTACTGCTGACACAACTAATCTGCATGAATTAAAATATAAAATTAATATAAAAATAATTTATTTATTTTATATTCAAAGGAAGTAACAAATAGGATGTAGATCACTGTAGTTCCGCAACTAAAATGCGGTCTATAGAGATGAACCATTTGCCGGCCATGTGATCCCGCCTGCAAGGAAATCCCTTTGCCTGGGTCTACCGCTTTCTAATAATGCGGCTTGCAAATTGCCCCATCGCTAAATAACCGACGATCAAGGGAGCCTTCTCATTACTACTCGTAAGATTCCCGCGCGCAATTTGCATTAACTCCGCGAACGAGCCGCGACCTCGATGAAGGTCGACACTACCTACCCTTTAAGATTGATACGGCCGATTACGGTAGCGACGAGAAGTCAGTCAACAGGGTACGGAGGGGTCTTCGCTATTGTATGCGTGTCGAGGTTTCCTGCCTACGTGGCTGCCGTTTTCGACTGACAATGAGAAGTGTCCCACCGTGATAATCGCAGATCAATAGTTACCCTCAATCCTCCATCGATGAGGTAACAGAACAGCCCAGCAGAAGAAGAATCGCAGGTTTTGTGTTCACGAAAAGGGCACCTGCTGTCGTCGGCTGCCTTTGTCGGCGACCTCGAATACCCCGAGCTTTGATCTTTCGTCGACGACGTTCAGGACAAACAACGCCGGCGATGACAGCGTTACGGTGCACCACGGCTATTTGCGGCGACCGTCTATAGCGCTCGCTGGAAAACCGACTGCGCCGCTGCGCAGCGAATTGCGCGAATTAGACTGTTAATTGCCGAGACGCGTCGGAAATTAATTGTGGCGAAATAGGAATGTAATTGAAGATCTGGATGCGGGCACCTCGGGCAAATCGGAAAACCGCGTGGCGACAGACTTAAAAAATCCACACGGAAAGAACAATTTTGCTGAATCCAGATCAGAAAATAATTTTTGTTCAATAATCAAAATTATAATATTTTGTGCGAAAGTAAAAATGATTGCTAGAATATCAAAATGTTTTATAGTAAAGATCGGAAGAGCACAC